GGGTGTGGGTGTGTGGGTGTGGGTGTGGGTGTGGGTGTGGGTGGGTGTGGGTGTGGGTGTGGGTGGGTGTGGGTGTGGGTGTGGGTCTTCTCTTTTCGCATTTAAACCCACACCCACCCCACACCCCACCCAGCCACCCCACACCCACACCCACCACACCCACCCCACACACCCACACCCACACACCCACACCCACACCCAGCCACCCACACCCGAGTAGGAATCAAATAGCATAGAAAAATAGAGCAAACGACGCTCTATCTATTCATAAAAAAGAAAGTTTTCTTAAGCCTTCTATACGAAATAAAGATGCCGTGGTCACTACTTTTGGTATGCCCTAAGTAGATTGAATAAAATTGATATAATGACGCAAATAGAAGCTTTCATTCAAGAATATATTCCCTTGTTTTCATGTTGAAAACGTTTCCTGAAATACTATTTTAATTAGCTAAATGAGTTATTTCTGTTGAAAGAGATCTTTTTGAACTTTTTCGAAAAAATGCAAGAATCCATCTATAGGATTGTTTCGATGATATTATCTAACTAGAATCTTAAATATTGTTATCAAATTTATGCTCAAAATCTATAACAAGGGCTTGGGAGAAATTACTATTTTTGTGGCACAAATTACCATTTTTATTCGATAGACATTTCTTTTAGACTATATTTAATTAAGATTTTACCAAAAAGTCTTTATATTTATAGTATTAATGAGAACATTTTATTAAGAGTTCATTTTTTCTATGCCATCGTGTGAAAATAGGATTTTCTTCTAGAAAGAGAGTAGCAGAATCGATAGTGAGTAAACCTTAGAATCGTAATTGAAGTGAAAGTCAAGTCTTTTGATCGTCTATGCTATTGTAATTAATGTTCAATGAATGCATACGCATTCAGAAAATAATTATTCGATTAAATTTATAGTATCCTTGTCAATCTCTATTTGATTTATTCCTATAATATTATTTATTGTACTTCAAAGATGATGCGACCAAGAAATTTCTCAATAGCTAGATAGACAATAATCTTAATACTAAATATGAAGTGTTAGTTGCTCGTTTTATTCTTTACTTATTCAAGAAAATATATTCATTTAAACGTCGAAATATACGTTATCGCGTTATAAGACGTTAAGAATCCGTGTTCTCATGCAATTAAATAGCAAAGATATCTAATAAAATGATTTGTGTCATGAATACATTAACTATGAACTGGAATATAAAAGTTAACTATAATAATTTTCCATGAATATGTGAAGGAAACATTTTATTTATTCGTACTAAAATATTAGAATGTTTTCATATAACTAAATGCAATAACAGTCATTTCTTTAGTTAAACAATCATTAAATATTAAAAAAAAGTTAGGAGTATAGAAAGATGAGTAGAAAATTTATTTTATTCTATTTGATATATTTTTATCAGTAAATTCGAATGTTCGAAATGATATTTTCATTTGAATTATCTAAGAGTTTGCTCATGAATGCTATTGAAAAAAAAACAAATTAATATTAACATATTCTGATTAACTATTGTTAAAAGGTTATTTTCAAACAGCAACAAATTAACAAATATTGGGCAATATAAACGAAGAATTAATATTTAAAATTCTAGATAATTGATCAGAATGTGAGTGTGGATATCGACTTGGGGTGTGAATTTAGCCAACAACTAAATTTACACTCCCAGATGAGCTCATCTTTCAAGAAAGCTATGACATATCTCTTAAATTCTGGAAATGTGACATTGATGGAATATTAAAAAGTCTTTTTGTTCAAATCATCAATGAGATCTCGAATGAATCCTTTTTCAAATATCCACAGAAATGTATTATCTTTATGTTTTCATATGATCTAAATGTGTTTATGTCATGGAACATACGCCAACATAAACAACACACATATTCACAACAACAACAGAAAACAACTTCACAAATGTAGAAAAAAAAAGAAGAATTTCAAAGAGCACCAAAACTTGTTGGTTGTTGTTGTTGTTCAGTAGACGAAGACGAAGAACTCAATACTTCATATAATTGCTGTTGCAATTTTTTATGTTGTTCACAAATTAATTTGTACAATTGTTGATCACCCATTAGAGTAAATGCATATTTTAATAAAAAATCATTAATTTTTCCATTTGAATTATGGATTAATTCATTTATACGTTCACTCTTAGGAAGAAAAAAAAAGCAGATTAAAATATAAAGAATAATTTATAATCAAAATAAAAAAAATTCTAATGTTTTTATAAATTAAAAATGAAACTGGAATCGTTAAGACAAGTGCTAACGTCAAAATTTAATTTATTTTGATAAATCTTTATTATTTTAAACGTCTTGTTGACTCATATTATCAATATCATGACTTTAGAATAAAAATTTGTGGAATTTTCTTATGATCGCAGCTTTAATGTCCTTCACGATTCTGAGAGAAATTTCTTAGAAAGATTCACATGAAACTTAGATACGTTTTGAAATAATTCTTGTTTCATACATTCAATCAATAAAATATATTTTATTCACTGTTTTTTTTTTTAATTTTTTTTTTTTAATATTATATTTAAATTCATTCACTCGAATACTATTCAATATCTGTCTACATTCTTAGAACTCAATCTCAAGAACAAAACTGATTTTGAATAACTATGACTTTAATTCATTAATAGTTTAAAAAAAATAACTATTTATTTATTTTAAAAATATTCTATTAAAGTTAAATATTTTTATTATTTCAAAACTGATAATAAAAATCTCATCAACAATTAAGTAGAACATAAACCTATGAAAAAACTCATCGTGAATGAAGAACTAACAAAAAAAAAATAACATATGATAAATTGAATATTGAAATAATATTTTCAAGTAAAACATTTAATCTAGTTTAATAGAAATGATTATTATGATCATTTTATTTGTCAGTAGAAATTCATTTGAGTTTTGTCTAAAATGGACCTCTAATATTTGTAATGACTACCGCCTATGTAAGAATTTAGATGCAGAAAAGCGACTATTGAGTATGTTCAATACTTATATATATATATTTATTTATTTATTTATATGAAACAGAACTTATAAATGAAGTCTTTTAATTAATTATAAATATATTTGTCAGTGAAACGTACTTTTGATGCTGTAAAAATTTAATATAATACACATCACGCACCTAAAAAGTACTATTAAATACTGGTGAAGGTACAAGAGTACTAAAATTTACTAGAAGAAATGAAAAATAGTAAGAAATGTTATTTGATTTCACTTTATGAATATTGAAGTATTTTAAAAAAATTTTCGTTACTTTTCTTTTTTTTTTTACATAGGAATATATCTTACGAAAATTATCTTTCACAACTTACCAGTGCTATAAAAGATTCTAAACAAAAAAATAAATAAATAAAAGTAAACCTTATTTTCTTTGATTGCCATTATTATATAAGTTGCTCTGTAGATCGTTTTTTTTATACGAAGAACTTTGTTCAAATAACACTAGTTTAATAGTGAATTTCACGTTAAAGAGAAAAAATATTAATAGAAGCGAACAATTAATGAACCAATGATCATCGAAGAAGGTAATTAGACATGAATGACTTTTTTTTGAGAAGAACAGATTAAAAAAAAGAAAGAGAGTGAGAAATGCATTACTGCATTAATGCCTCTAAGTGAATTAGTATAGTTCAACAAAAAAATCACACTCTGTGCTATTCGGAGGTCATTAATAGCATGGACAAAAAATGTAAAATGGTAACCATTTTATTTTGTTGTTTGCCACACAAAAAATCTTGTTATATCTTCTTTCCGAAAAAAAGAAGATTAAATTAGGGGGCAGCTGACAATATAAATCTTTAAATCATTTGAAATTTTGAAGCCTATCATCTCTCCCTTGATTAAATAATCTATATTTTGAAATTTATATTTCTTAAAATTAAAGTGAAATAATTACTGGTTATATTTATATCTTTATTTTTGTTTAATCTCAAGAAGTTCGACTAAAGTGGTCTTACTTAATATATCAACCTTTAGTTAACTAAAAAGTTTTCCAAAAATAATTGTTTTTGCTTATATCTATATATGATGAAGTTGCAGAATATTGACCATTAAACATTGAAGCGTTGGTTAACTCTACTACTATCAAATCTATGTCGGTCACTATAAATATAATGCATGCACAGCAAAACGGTTGGTATTCATTGCTGAATTTTCTAAGAATATGATTTATGATATATTTTTGTTTGGTAGCAGTAGAGCCAAAATCAAAAGAAAAGGAGAGCAAGAGAAAATGACAATCATAATCGCCTTTTTATCTAGTAGTTGTTCTAAAACAAATGTGCGTTATTATAAAAAAAAATATGCAAAATAAATTTTGCATTATAACTAAGTGGACTCTCTGAATTCGTGTCTAGTCTGTGCTAAAGATAATTTTGAATTTCTATCTTACTAAATCATATCTGTAAATGATGAGAAATACTAACTTTTTTTTCTCTTGGTATATATTCTTTTTTTTCATACTCTTCAAACAATTTTTGAAATAAAGTTGGATGTGAATTTTCGACATGTGACCACATTATTTGTTTTTGTTCTTTTGTTAGATTACGTTGTCCTTCATTAATTTCCACAAAGAACTCACAAGTTTCGTCTGGACATTTAATGTTTCCTTGTGGTGCTAAATGAATACAAAGAGATAGTTCAAAAATATCGTGATTGAAAAATTTGAATCAATATACTTTGCTCAAATGTAAAGCTATTAAAAACTTCAACATTAAAATTAAGATTTTCCATTTCTTTTTTTTATCTAAAATAGTAAAATTGAGGATAAGGAAATAGAAAATGAATGGAGCCAGCAATGTCTTCTATTTGAATCTGTCTTTAACCTCTGAAAATTGGGAAAAATTTATGAACTCGATTGTAATCCTCTTCGATGAAGTTTTAATTACTATTGTCCTCCTCCGAGATGTAGTTTATATTTCTTAGTTATTGATGTCCTTCTTTATTAAACATGTTCACTTCTTTGTCGATAATTTTCTATTGGTTTTCTTTTTCTTTGCATTTACGATTACAAAAGAGTTCCTTTTTCTTCTATGATTTCAATGTTTATTTAGGACCTAACAAAATTTAATAAAGAAGTTGGATTATATATACCGATGACAAAAAGAATATTTTAAATTATAAATTTTCTTGAACAACCAGGGATTATTTATAAGATGTCTTATTTTAGAAACAGAAGAAGGTAAAATTTTTCCTTGGCATAGAAAAAAAAACTGAAATTAGAGATTGTTAAGGATAATAACTGAAGTAAATAAATGTAAATAACAGTGATTCGAAAAATCATTATTAATTTATAAAATTAATAAAAAAGAAACTTAATTTTACTTATTTCAATACATTTATTTATTATCGTCGTTTTGGCATACTACATAACCGTTTTCAGTAAAAACACAAACTCGTACAAACTAATAGATTATTTGACTTCGCAGCGGTCCTATATTTTTGAAATCGATCTTATAATACACCCCCCCCCCCCCCCCGCTATAATAAAAGACCTCGGGTCTTCTATTATGTTTAAGCGGAAAAACTTTTTAGGCGGGGGGGTCTTGTATTATGATTCCTGTATTTTTGCGAAACTCACGAGTATTTTCGAAGAATTTAATAAATGCAAGTTTAAGTTCAGGCTTTACAGCTCCTCGGTTGCAATTATAGTAACCAGATGCTGGAAAAAAAATCACTATATCTTTCCACAGCAACAAACAATAAGGAGTAATTCATATCATCCACTATATTATTTTAAAATTCTGTAATTTCTAGTTTCTGTTCTAAATATTATATTTTTTGGGTTTTTATAGCTCACATACGTTTTTGAAGGAACAAATAGTGACCGTAAGTTTGGGTCAAGGTTTTTCAGCTTGTTTCCTCTTCTCCATTACATGTCGTAACAATCGCTTATATTTAAAACGTTATGGAAGCTTCTAGAATCTTTTGCTTTTCAATAGTTCGAATATTTTTATGAGCATTCGCAAGAAGCTAGCCTCCTCTTTTTTGCGCAGATAAAAGTTTATACGATTCATGTGTAAGATAATCTTTTTGTGATTTTTCATAACGATAGTATAAGTTACATAAAAGCGTGATCAAACTAGTTTCTAACTTTTAGAAATGTTTATTTTGTGTCTCACTCTGTACGTTAGTATGTATACAAGATTGGTAGGATCTGGCGAAGATACAACTAGTATTTATACTAAGCTTATTTAACAATTAAATTAAAGCTTGAATCGAATAATACGAAACAATGATAATCTCGATTAACAGAAGAATGACACAGCAAATAGCGACAAGAAAAAAAGCACATATTAGGACAAAATGTATGAATAGAAACTGCTATAAATTAATCATTATGATCAATGCTCCTTCAGAAATGTAACATTTTGCGTCGGTTGTAGTATTATTATAAATATATTCAAGAAATCTGATGAATGGGGCAAAGAGAGAGGTAGTAATTCAAAATGAAATAGGTTCGTTGAGATAAAGTTTTACAGCGTAGGCTTTAACTCAAACGATAGAATTAGTTGTAATCTGCCCAATTATTTGATATCTCTTGAAAATGAAATTTTCCACCCATTTTTGAGAATATAATATAAATTTGTAGCAGTCTGAGTCTCATGAGCATTACGCTTTGGCTTCACAGCGGCTACGCTGATAAGTTTTTGTAACTAAAAAGGTATTCTAAGAGAACCGCAGTGGTTTTGAAAATTGGAGAAAGGCTTTTAACGATTTTCAAAGCGTATATATAGAGTTGAACTCATCGATTTGAAAATTTTCAGCTGAAAACCCCAAAAATAGACATGTTTCGAGGTAAAAAACTAATGAAAATCTTCAGTCTTCACAAAAAAATTAAATAAATGGGGGGGGGGGGGGGGGCCTTCTATTACATAGGACACAATTTTTTCCCAAAGGGGTCTTCTATTATGGGAGGATCTTCAATTGTGGGGGGAGAGGGGTTAGAGTATATTATAGATTTTTTTTTCTATATTTCTGTATTTTTTGAAAAATAGAAGGTTCTTTGGACAAAGGTCACATACATCTTTAATAAATTGCCTGATGCTTAGTATAATATTATCGCTGGTACTTCTACCATAATAATGACGATCACATTAATATGCATGTTTTGGTCAAAATTAGATTTCATTCAGATTTAAAATTTACCCAATCAATGTTAAAATTTTAAAATCATTGAATAAAATGCTGGTCCAAATCAGAATTTTAATTTTGAGTAGACAATTTTAAGATTTGACAGGTATTGAGAGCAATCCGTATTTTCTATATTTACAACTTAAGTGAAAAAAGTTGAAAAAAAATGTTGGTATGAAAAACCAGCTGAATGCTTTAATAGAGCACCATTGAAAGATTAGAGAAGAGTTTTTCTTCGCCATACTTTGCCTAAAAATAAGATTCTTCGTGCAATAGCATAAATGTGCAGCAATGCTTCTTCTTCGAAAGTCGAAATGAACATAAACGAAGAAAAATCTGTTATCCAATATAATAGTGAAGAAATATATTTGTAGGAAGTAGAATGCATGTTTTGTAACTTTTTCATACTACACATTAATACTTTGTTCTAAAAGGTATGTCATTAGATCTGCCTATTCACGATTAATTAAGAAGTTTATAATAAGTTTATAGTTGACTTTCATTCGATTGAGACATTCAACTTTTCAACTGAAGAAACGTTTGCATTTGACTTACCGTTATCTCAGCTCTATAGCATGACAGGAACTTGATTTTTTCACTAAAAATCGGCAATATACAGAGAAACAAAGGTTTGTAGTGTTTGTAAAAAAGTTAACTTCATTAACAGAAAGTCACAAGATTTGTGATGGAATAAGACAAAGAGAGTATATATCCTTGTCAAAACATTGCCATTCATATGCATTCAAAATTTTTAGGCAGTGTGAACTTGTGCTTTCAAGAAGTTGTTCCTAACGATCATCTACATTTTAATATCACTTTAGGTTGATCAACATATTCCTATCAAGAGCAAATCAAATTTTGAGATGATTGGACAAAAAATATTCATTGTTTGTGAAGTCAGTATTTTATGTATATTGATTTAAGACAGTTGTTGTGAAGAACAAACTGAAGTTATATTCTCATTCACTACATTTTTCTTTCATCTAACTGTAATGAAACGAATGTGGACATAAAATTTCTTAGTTGAAACAAATTGTTTTCGTTGTGAGATGACACAAATTTTCAGCTTTTGCTCAACTGTAACAAACGTAACTCAACATATAAGTGACGTAAACTGTTATGAGTGTTAAAAGTATAAGTATCAATTCAATAGAGTATTTGGTAAAATTTTAAGTGATCCAAAGATTTTCTAACAAGAAATATTCATAATTTAATACAGATGATGCAATCACAGTGACCAAAGTACTGTCTACGCTGTTTTAAAACAGTTTAAAATAAGTCTAGCATACATTGATTGTGTCTTTTCTGTTAAAAATAGTCATTTGAAAGTTTTCTACAATTCGAAGAACTTTTTTATTTGGTTTATCTCATGCATACAGAAAGTAGCCATTTGTAATCTCCAACCTTGTTGCAGCGTTTTTCAGCACTCTAAGAACACATTGGTATCCTATTTATTTTCTATATATTTGAACAGAATCCTATATATATCGTGCTGTCGAATTATTATATTTTCTTATATTTTCGCTGATTGGTGTTGCAAAGCCAACAGATTATTTTTTTAATTTACAGCAGTAAAGCTTTGAGAAAGAGACAAGAATTAAGTAGGGAAGAATGAAATTATATGAAATGGCCAGTATGAGAACATGAGTTAAGAGAAGTTTAAAATATGTTGGAGAAAAATGAAAAATAAGGAGAGGAAAGCAAAGAAACAATAATGATAGAGAATAGAAAGAGAAAAGCGTATTTAATTGCGATAGTCAACCATTTGGATCAGCTAATAAATTTCTAAGTAAACTTTCAGGAAATATATTATAATCTGTTAGTATGAATAGCAGGGTTTTTAACAGAAATCTAAAATAAAGTACATTTAGATACTTTGCTTCTATTGGCAAAGTGCTAGGCGGTACTTTGTTTTAAACACCAAAGTATCCAAAGTACCAAACGAAAGAAATGTTAAGAAAAACAAAGAAAAAAAATACTATTGATCTTTATTAGTTGATAATATATTTCTGTACAAAAAACAATATACAAAAAAGTTGTAGATAAAGACAAAAATACACATATTCATCTGACTAAGTTAAATAAACACTTCTCTGAATTAACCTTTACTATTGTATATACAACAAAATAAAAAATAAAATAAAATATAAATTATAATAAATATAAATGATGTACAACAATTGAATGAATAAATATAAATTAAAGAAGAGCCAAAGCTAAATATCAAATAAGAACAAGTAAAGTTATCTATAAAAACAAGGTTCAATTCAATATCTAGAAAAAGAAAAGAAATTTCAATGATACATTTGGTCAAATTAAAAAAAAGCTTCTTTGCTCCATTTATAAATATCATAGAATATGTAAACAAAAGGAAAAAGAGCGATTTTTAAACAATGGCGAACAAATGAGCAAAGTGCTTTTTTATTTTACAAAATACTATCAAGGTATTTTGTTTTTTCGAGCAAAGTGCAAAACACGGTACTTTTTCAAAATCGTAAGTACCTCGGGTACTTTGCTTTTGCTTGTGGTACTTAATATTAAAAACACTGATGAATAGTTCGATTCTCAACCAGCCATCCGATAGGTATTTTAAGGCATCG